CAAGGAATGAGGATGCAGAATTTTCCTCAATTGCAGGAGTGTTTTGAAGGGATTAGCCTGAAGCTTAAAATATACTGCTGTCTTCTAAGACTTATCAAAGTAAATTGTGTCCCTAGAGACATTTAAAGGCAATTAGATCCCACATTTGCATGTGGTTGTGGTTGGAGAAACTGCAGGTTGCCTACCAAAGGGGATTTTTAGCATAGTTTTATGAGCAAACTTTGAAGTGTTGCATAAGAACTTACTTAGTAAATAAATACCTTTGTTACATTTTTGTTAATCCTGGCAATCTGGAACCTATATTTGTCATTAGATCATTTATTAATCGCTTTGTAAAATGTTTTGGTTAAGTAGAAAATATCCTATGAAAAGCTGAAAAACAGACTTTGTGTATTACTCTACTCCTGAGATGAACCACAATTCTGTTTGCTAAGCAACATCCATTTAGCCTGAGAATCAACAGCCCTTAAATTCTTTCATAGAAAAACATGCTGCAGGGTTGACTTGGATGGACATTTCCAAGTTTTGTGACTTCTTCTAAGTTAACATCCAAAAACTCTTCTTTAAAAACGTGTATTTTGCAGCCAGGCAGTGGTGGCACACACCTCTAATAACAGCACTCGGGAAAGAGAGGCAAGTGGATCTACGTGAGTTTGAGTTCAGCTTGGTCTACAGAGTGAGTTTCAGGGCAGCCAGAGCTACCCAAAGAAACCCTGCCTTGGAAAAACAGAACCCCAAAAAAAAATCCCCAAAGGAAGTATATTTTCCCACCCTTTAAGAATGACACCCAGCATATTTTCATAATACTCAAATCTTTCCCAAACTCCTCCCAGATCTACCCCAACCTTCCTTTGTGTCTCTTCAGTTTTGTATCTTTTTTATTTTTTGAGAGGAGACTATCTTGAGACACATGTCCTGATCCTCTGGCTTTTCCATCTTCCTACTGTCTCTTCCACTATGAGCTTTAGGTGCAGGAGTTATGTTGTAGCTATATGGTGCTGGGGACCACACCCATGGTCAGCTGTTCTCTACATTTTTAGCAGTTGTGGTTTTCTGGGTTGGTCTCCATCTACTGAAAAAGAAGCTACTTTGATAAAGGGTATGAAAACAACACTTATCTGTGGGTGTAGGAGAAGTACTTAGACTGCAATTAGAAACCATACTGCTTTGAGAAAGTGGAAGTAGTCATTTCTTTTCTCTGTCCCATGACCTCACATAGCTGGCTATGTTTACAGCTCCAGACATGAATCCTCTCCTGTTTAAGGAGTGCAATTACATGTGCGGTGGTTTCTCCCAGAATGTCAGTGCCTCTGTTGTACCTCTGCCAACATCTTGTCATGTTGATCATTGTTGTGGTTCATGGGCATTATAGCCAGGTAAGACTACCAATTGCTTTTCTCTCCTGGGAGCTCACAGAGATGCTTCTGAAACATTTCTGCCCTCATGAAGCTCACAGTTCAGTAAAGTAGACTTTCTTACCTTTTGTCCTAGGTTGTTTGAGGAGGTACAGCTGCCCATGTTTCAGTGTGCCAAGTCAGGCTATATTGAGCTATGGTGGAAGGTAGCAGGCAACAGAGTGTTGTGCTCTTTCGTGACACCCATTCTTAAAATGAAATGACACAGTATTGGGCATATCAAGGCTACGGAGCCCCTACTATTGATGAAAAAGACATCACATAAATTAGTGCTTTTTGGTATCAACACATTGACATTGTAGCTCAAATACTTAGTTATTGTTGGAGGCTGTTCTGTGCATTGGTTGATGATATGGCTCAACCAGCTAGATTCCAGTAGGATCTGCTTCCAGGTAGGTTGTGACAATAAAAAAAAAAATTGTCTGTAGTGTGTCGAAAGTACCCTGGTAAGCAAAATCACTCCTGGCTGAAAGCTACTGGGATTTTTATTTATTTATGTATTTATGTATTTATTTATTTATTTTGCTTATGTAAAGTGTGACTTCAAAGGGATATAAGAAATCTCTTCAGATAACCACATGACATCCATGTTGGAAAAAAACTTTAAACATAAAAATGTTTAATTGGGTCAGAGGGGTAATACTAGAAGAAACCGAAAATCATTTTCAGAGAGAAATCTCTTAGCTTCAGGATATTCTTAGTTTTATAACCTACTCTGGTAGAACTTACAGAATTGTCACATCCTGATAAATTCAAGGTGACTTGGATACATACCTCACTTTGTGGGATTTAAGCAACTTGTGTTTCTGAGTTTCTTCATTTTCTGTTGCTGTGATAAATACCATGACCAAAAGAAGCAGAAAGGGGAAAGGGTTTACTTGACTTAAATATTCCAGGTCACAATCCCCTGAGGGAAGCCAAGGCAGGAACTGCACACAGGGACCGAGATGTAGGAACTGAAGCCATTTACTGGTTTGCACCTTTTGACTTGCTTGGTCTGCTTTCTTATGTCACCTAGGACCACCAGCCTAGGGGTAGTGTCACTCCCAGTAGGATAGGCCCCTCCCAAATCAAGCATCAATTCAAAAGTACCCACAGATGTGCCTGTAGGTATTTAAAGAATTAAAAAGACATCTCTTGAGGATTTTTGAGAGACATCAGAGTGAAATGATTACAGTGGTAGTCCATCTGACTTTTCAGTAGTCTGTCTAAGCCCAGTGCCAGCAACTTTGACTAATGCAGAGTATTGGTCAAGTTCCCAATATACATACCCCCCCCCTGTTTTAATTTTTTCATTGGATACATTTGTGCATTTCCTCTTTTTAAAACTCACAAAGGGCTGGAAAGATATCATAGTCATAGTACATGCTGTACAAATACAACTTCAATCCCCAGAGCCCATATCAAAAGGCTGGGTGTAGTGATACATACTAGTAAGCTCAGGGTTAGGGAAGTAGATAGAGGCAGACCGCTGGGGCTTCCTAGCCAGCCAGCTGAGAATACTTGGTGAGCTCAGTTTTCAAAGACCCCTTTTCAAAAACCAGGTGAAAGGCAACCAAGATTTACCTCTGGCTTTCACACACTTATGTACACAGGTGCACCTGCACATAACACACACACACTATGAGTGTTGTATAATATTGTACAAGTAGCTCCTTTGATAAGAAAATCTACGTAACTGTTATGATTAATGCATCCAGTGTGCTTTATAGATGATCTCAGAACACTTGCCAGTTTGACTAGCAACTTCTCGTTAGTGGTGCTACCAGGCATATTATAGAAGAAGACCGTAATAGAGCAGCAGTTTTCTTCTCTTTTTTTTTTAACTTTTCTAAATTGTGTGCTTGAAAGAAAATATTTTATGATAAGAGAAAAGATATTCAAAACACATAAGATGGCCTTTTGAGGGCTCTACCTGGAAGACTCTTCAGCATGCATGTCCATGTTGTGAGTTTTAGTTAAGAATTTCATATTTCATAGCTTTTGTGTTGTGCTACCCTGTCTAAAAATTACATTATGCTTATTGTAGGATAGAAACAAAATTTAGGCCAAGTAAGAATCTAGGCATGATCTCACATTTTTATTGTGTCTATACTAACCTAGCATTTAGAATTTTACTAATATAGTTTAAAATTAAACAAAATAAAATAATTTCCCTCTCTTTACTACTCCTAATATTTTAAAGAGAGAGAAGAAGAACTTTCACCACTTTTCTTAACAATCCAAGTCATGCAAAAGCAAGTTTCCATAGCTGTCTGTGCAGGGGACATCCCTGCATCCCACTCTGGCTCCTGAAGATGGAACTGTCCCAACAACTGTACTTTCAGGTATCCATTTTCCAGGACTGACATTATCTGCAAATTGTATAAGGATTTGGAAAACTGTGTGTAGGATCTATAGCATCATCCCCAAAGTTACATTTTAAAGAGAAGTTGATATTTCTATTTGTTTCTCTGTAGTGGCAATGCATACTAATCTTGAGCGGTGCTAATCGAGGCTCAGAACATTTGGACAGGCTGGAATAACATGCAAGACTGCAAGTCTAGGAGCTAGAGAGGAGGTCATTTGTTGAAGTAGAAAAAAATCTGATACTTTAGGTGAAATATTAACACAAAAGAGGGTGAGCAGTCAATTCTAAGAAAGTCTCCAACTCCGGTAAATAGAGGGAAGGTGCTTTCAATGGGTAGACAATAAATAATAGTTATTCCTAGTTCTAGAGGAAAGAATTAAATGGTCACTGTCACAAACAACGAATGGCATGTGAATTCTACTTGTGACTCCTTGACTTGAGCAAATCACTTGGTCTCATGATAACATAGGGAAACCCAGGAGTGCATGCACTTTTGAAGGAGAAAGAAGGGGTATTTACCTGAAAGTAGCATCTACTCCCTGGTGAAAATGTACACTCCAGGTGGCTCCCCGGCAAACTCTGTTCAGGAGACCTAGAAGACCATTCTCCTTCTCAGCTAAGTCTGTTGTAAGGGAATGGAGGAGAATGATAACCCTGAATAACAATTTAAAGAACACAGGAGTACAGCATTTCAGTGCAGCCATCACAAGGAAGGGAAGAAAACTAAGATAGGTCAAATTATAGTCACAGAGGCTAAAGGAACCTGGGAACAGTAGCTTGTAGGGCTCAAGAATTTTTTTCCATTCTCAGAAAGTAGAACTGTTCTGAGGTAGAGTAGACCTTCATGAGGGTCAAGCTGGTTAAGGCTTTGGGAGATGAAAGGGTATGGGGAACCAACTCAAGGCAATGACTTTCAGATGCAAGATAAAACACACTTATTAACACATATATAAGCCATATGTTAATATTTTATTGTATAATTGCCTTTTCTCTTTCTTTTGTTCTCCCTCCTATTCCCTTCCCTTTCTCCTCCTCTACTACCTCCTCTTCAATTATTCCCAATTTTTCTCTTCTTTCTTATTTTGTTCTCTACCCCCTCCAATTCTCCTTTTCTCAATACTTGCGATTGTTTCCATCCCTTTTTGTTTCTCTTCCTTCTTCCTTTCCCTTATCCATTATTATTTCCCCCCTCCCATTTCTCCTTGTCCGTGGCCCACCCTTCACTGTCTCTCCAGGTATTATGCCATCTGCTGCCAACCATTGGTTTATAGAAGCAAGATGACCCCTGTGCGCATCGCATTAATGTTGGGAGGCTGCTGGGCCATTCCCATGTTTATATCTTTTCTCCCCATAATGCAAGGCTGGAACAACATCGGCATAGTTGATGTGGTGAGTATCCACACAGAAGCCATGGGTTTATCAACCAATCAACTTTGCTAGGCATTCTAGATAAACAAATAATACTAAGCTGGGTAGCTATTTTAATAGATACTACAATAGTGGTCTGAGCCATGTTTCTAAATGTCTACTGAGAGAGTCTTGCCTTGGCCAAATGTTAGTCAGGGTCCTCTGAATTAATCTTCCCAACTAGACCTTGTTTTTTAAAAACGTGTTTATTTATTTATTTATTCACATATCGATCCCAGTTCCCTCTTCCTCCCTCCCTTCTTCCCTCCCTCCCTCACATGCACCCTGGCCACCCTCCCTCCCATTCCCCCCACTCCACATGTATGGTGATGCCATCCAGGAGGGGTCATCTAAATCTGACAGATTTAGATGTGCTTTGAGAATTTCATACATAAGCACAATATATTTAGATCACATAAACCTCTAGGCATCAAAATTTGGATTTCCATGTCTGTCTTTGTTTCTTTTCCTGTACTATGGCAAAATACTTTCAAAGACTTGGAGTTCTTGTCATAAAGGTCTTTCACTTGCTTGGTTAGAATTACACCAAGATATATTATTTGAGGCTATTGTAAATGGTGTTGATTTTATGAGTTTGTATTCGGTCCTTTATCATTTGTATATAGGAGGGCTACTGATTTTTTTTCATAGTTAATCTTGTATCCAGCTGTAGGCGTTCCCTGGTAGAGTTTTTGGGGTCACTTATGTATACTATCATATTATCTACGAATAAAATACTGCAAAAGAAGCAACTTAATGGAGAAATGGCTTATTTTAGCCCACAGTGAAATCAAGGCAGTAGGAACTTGAAGCAGAAAGTCCCATAATGTCCATAGTCAGAGAAGAACAATGAATACACAGTACTTCTTGGTCCTCTTTTTTGGCTTCCACATTCCAGAAACCCTGCTTAGAGAATGGTCCTGCCCACAACCAAGATGGGTCTCCCCACATTAATGAATATATTCAAGATACCCCCTCCCAGGTATACCCAGTGGCCCTTCTTGCTGGGGATTCTAGATTTTGTCAGTTTGAGAACTAATTCTGACCGAAATCATGTCCAACTTTGCACTGCTCAACTTTAGCGAGTATACTGATAATTTGGTTTAACTGGAATCCCTCATCCTCAGTAAAGGGTTAGGCACTTTATCCTTCACCTCCCAGGTTGTGCCTGATTGCCCTGGCTTGTCTTCAGCAAAAATTCTGTAAAGTTGACTTATATAGAATCCCACTTGTTCCTACCATTTAATCATAATTTTCTGTCCACTGATCCCCCTCAATCAACTCCCTGCTATAAATCCCCACTTCTTTCTTTGTTGTGTTTAGAGTCAAAGTTAATCTCCTTCTGCAAAGTCACAGCAGTTTCTTTTGTTTATGAAAAGGATGTTGAAAAAAGGTTGTCTTAGCAAGTGTTTCAAATAGCTTTTTAACATTACTGTATATTGTACAGGAAATAAGCACTTTACATGCAATCCTAAAAGAATCCTTTTGGGAAAAGTATAATTATGCCCATTTTAAAGATGAGTGGGTTGTGTCCCCCATGCCATGTAATTTCCCTGTAGGAGAACAGGGATTCACTATTTAACAATCATTTCCCGGAGTTTGAAGTATATCATATGTCTTCAGAAGCTTTCATATTCAGAGTCTGTAAGGTTTGTAGTGCCTGGGGAAAGACTTGCTGGGTGAATGGAGTCTGCCAGGGAATGAAGAGTCCTGAGCCAGAAGTCAGAGAGCTAACCTGTGAACCCATCTCTGTTGATACAATCTAAAGGATTATATTAAGTAGGCAATATGGTGCTGAGTGAAATAATATCTAATATGAGTGTTAAGGGGACATATGCTACATATGCCATTGTCCAACAATGAGTATTGATTTTCCAGAGAAATAGGACAATAGGATGTTTGTGTCTGTCTGTATGTCTATCTATCTATCTATCTATCTATCTATCTATCTATCTATCATCTATCTATCTATCATCTATCTATCTGCCATCTATTTATCTATCTTCCTTCTTATCTATATACTTAGAGAAAGAAAAGGAGAAACAGAGACAGATGAGTAGACATATTGTAACTGGTCCACACTGTTGTGGAAGTTGACAAATCTTCAGCAAACTAGAAATCCAGGAGAGCCAATATTTAAGTTCAAATCCAAAGATAGGAAAAACTGATGGCCCTTCATTAAGGCAATAATAGAGCAGTTCTCTTTCAATCAGCTTTCTTGTTCTGTTCAGGCCTTTAATACATTGGATAGTACTGATTTGGAAGAGAAAAATTATTTATATAATCTGCTAGTTCAGAGCTTCATCTCAACAAAAATATTATCATACCCAGAATAGGACTATACCAAGTATCCGAGTACCCCATGACTTAGTTAAATTGACACATAACATTAACAATCTCACTTCAAAATCATCTTTAAGAGTCCTACTCTGGCATACAAGAATTATGATGACAATTAAAACTGATGGTCTGGATCCATTGCTAGCACAATGGAAGATGACATGCAGTCACATAAATCCAATCCTCTAGATGTGGGGTAAGAAGAGACTGAGAGTGGGTTCTGGCCCAAAAGGACCAGAAAAGAGGGAATCCCCCTTCATTTCTACACATAACAATTTTAACTTCCTCTTTGAATAGGAAACAAGATCCAAATAAATCCCATGGCCAGGACTCACATTTCAAAACAAGGAGTACTTAAGCTTCTGAAAATATACTAGAGGCAGGGAGGGACACCATCCTCTAGAACCTATAGAGAAAGTCTTCAATCCTGTACCTTTTCTTTTGGAATTTCAGGGTTTTTTTTTGTTGTTGTTGTTGTTTGTTTTTTTCATTTGGAGGGGAAATGAAATACCAGTTTCCAAAATTACTATTACTCAAATAACAATAATAATAATGGTCAGCAAATATTTCATACTTAATCACCAAATCAATGACTATTCCAGTGAAACTTATTAAGGACATTCTTGGCTCAGTTGAAACCCAGAAGTTGGAGAGGCTATCTTGGGCCAGATGATGTCCAACCACAGAGATTCAAGCAGCAAGTAATAACACTGAAAATAAACAGATATGTAGAATCTGCTTATCTAGTCATTAGCTAGGTGATAATCACTGCATTTTCTTCAATTTGGGGCTTCAGAGACCACTCAGTAAGAAGAATGTATACAGCACCCACATCACTCACAACTGCCTATAACTCCAGCTCCAGGGAATCCAACATCTCTGGCCTCCTTGGCAACCTTTTTCACATGTGCACACTCCCACATGTGGGTGCATGCACCCACCCACACACACAATTTTCAAATATTAAATCTTTATAAGGTGGGTTGCTAGCAGATTGAAATTCTAAATAGGGAGTTAGAGTGGGCTCTACTGAGAAGGTGACATTTGAATAAAGACTTTAAGGAGATGGGGAAACTATATTTGTAGGTACCTTGAAGAAGCATACAGTGGGCATAAAACAGCTGATGCAAAGGTCCAGAGGCAAGATGAGGCTGACACAGGCGGATATAGGTTACAAAGTTAATTTGGAGGTAAGAAAGTAGAAGAGGAGCTTAAAAATGAAAAAAAAAAAATAGTAGGAAGACACTGCATTTTTCTCTGGGACATTTAAGGGATCAAATTTAACTCTGAGTGATATGGATTACTGTAGGGTCTGAGAATGCTAGTAGTATGATTTATAATATTTTGAAAGAATCCTCATTTTTTTTCTAAAGAGCAAACATTAAAGAAGTCTGCTAAAGGAATGCCATGGGTAAAAGACAATGGTTCTGTAGTCTCAGTGGGAGCAATGGAGGCTGTGATTCAGAATATAGGAGGAATTTTAATATAAACAGGATTTTCTGAATGGTTAGAAGAAAAATGTAAAAGGAAAACCTTAGTTACATGCAATCAGCACAGCTGGAAAAATAGAGCAAATGGCTATTGATTTCAGCTGGAAAGTCTAGATTAGAACTGTGATAGGTAGGATAGTTTTGGTGGATTACAGAAAGCATAATGAAAGTGTTAAATACCTGCTAGACATTTTAGTGCAACAACCAATAAATCAGCTTAATATCAAATGGTGATATTTATGGGAATTCTCTATCAGAAACAAACTACAAGGTAAGGCATTCTCAGAGCCAGATACTAATAAAATCCATACAAATGTATGTAATCATCTTGGGCATGAAGATTTATAAGAAAAGATGTCTAAGAAGTGAAAAGCCAATACTAGAGAGTTGGAAGATACAACTAAGATGGAAGCAAAAGAAGAAGGAAATTTCTAGAAAGCAAATTTAGAAACACATCACAAGCGAGGATAGAGAACGCTGTTTCTGGGTATGATAACAACTATACTAACCATGAGTATAAGGATAAATAAAATCCACACTATATTCAAAAACAGTATCAGGCATTGTAGTTCATGCCTATAGCCATAGCACTTGAGAAGCAGATTCAGGAGAATGTCTGGTCCAAACCAGCTTAAGCTACCAGGAAAAATCCTGGGAAGCTGGGCATACAATCCCACCCCTAGCCTTTAAAATGATTGGCCATTGCTAGCTGCTGGGGAAGGAAGGATCAGATTCTCTTGGAATGTAACTCCTGATAAGCTGACCATGCTCCAGTGGAGGACCATATATCCAAAAATAGTTTAGGCAGCACAAATTGATCTTGAAGACTTTTTTTTTAATAGGAAGAGGAAAGGGGTGGATGTGGGAAGAGTATGGGTGGTGGTGAATTGCTGAATGCCATCAAAACAGGCTGCAAGTCACAGAAACTCTCAATAACTGATAAAATGTAAAAGAAATAAATGTTTTCAATGAATGTTTTAACTAAAGATGTTTTACATATGAAAAATTTTCAGCAAAAATTTTATCTTAAATACTATTTGAAGAAGAATATTTTAGTTCCCTCCTCTACAACTGAAAAAAAAAAAAAAACAGATGAAAGTATCTGACAGCAGGAAAAACACAGAAAAACACAGAGGAAAAAAACCAAAAGGAAAACAACAACAGCAAAATCAAAAAGAATACTGACTACTGAAATACTACTACTAATGCCTCCAGGATTGGCTTTAGTACATGTAGGACTAAAATGCATAAAAATCAGCATACCAGGAAGGAATGAGATGAATAAATGAAGTTATTATCAAAAAGTAGCAATTATTTTTCATAGATGGATATACGCTATAGTCTTTATGGATAAGATGAGAACACATAGGAGAAAGCAAATGGAGGAAAAAGGCCAAAAACCCAAGGCCCTGGTTTGAATAAGAATGCTTCCCACAGGATCATATATTTGAGTAGGGGATTAGAAGGATTGGGAGGTGTGCCCTGTTGGAGGAATTGTGTCCCTGGGAGTGGGCTTTGAGGTTTCAAGAGCTCATGGCAAGCCCAGCCTCTTTCTGCCTGTGAATCAGGGTGTAGCTCTCAACTACTTCTCCAGCACCATGCCTGTGTTGCCTACCACCGGCTCCCCACCATGATGATAATGGGATAAGCCTCTGAAACTGTAAGCAAGCCCTCAATTAACCGCTTTCTTTTATGAGTTGCTGTGGTCATGGTGTCTTTTACAGAAATAGGATAGTGACAAAGATGGATAAAAAACAGTAAAATTTGAGACAATCTCAATCAACCTGTGATTATGGTAAATGTCAAATGACTAAATTCTGTGAAGAAAATTTCCTAAAAGATAAATGCTACTATATTGAATCTAGACAAAATGCAAATATATACTGCTTAAAGAGAGGCCCATTGTGCAGAATATAATGGAAAAGTTAAAAATTCAGAAAAAGGAAAAATATGCACCTTGTGAGTACTGAATATTTTTTTTAAAAAAAGCTTCTATAGCTTTACTATTACATAAGAATAAGCAAATTTAATACAAGTAGTATTACTTCAGACAAAGAACAATGCGAATCAGTCTACCACAAGATTCAGAAATTCCACTCTTAAGCATATACCCAAAAAATACACATTCATGCAACAAGGACATCTCTGTTCAACTTTGTTTGTAGCAGCATTATTTGTAATAGACAGATCTTGGAAACAACAAAGATGCGCCTCAACTGAAGAATGGATAAAGATAATTTGGCACATTTACACAATGGAATACTATTCATCAAGAATATTTTTAAAGCATGAATAGAATAGTCCTAAGGAGCTACAATGTGGTCAGACAAAAAGACTAGGACTCTACATGTGGAGTGGGGGAGGGGATAAGAGGGTGGTCCGGGGGCATGGGAGGGTGGAAGAGAGGGAGGGAGAGACAGAGAGGGAACTGGGATCCATATGTAAAATAAGAAAGAAAGAAAAAAAAAAGACTAGGACAATGCTCTGAAGCCACAACAACAAACCAACCAACTCATGACTAAGAGTTTTGGGCCTTCAGAGTAAGGCGGTTCATGGCCCAGCTGCCTAAGAGAGAGAGGAGGACATGAAGTTGGAGTTCAAAAGAAACAACTAACAAAGGAAGGAAGACTTGATCTACTATTTCTGCCTTTGGTGATAAGAAAGGGGCCCATAAGTCAATGAATTTAAAGAGGAAGAAGTGATGAACAAAGGAGTCAAGACCACACTGGGAAAACCCACATAAACAGCTGACCTGAACAAGTGGGAGCTCCTCGACTCTAGTCTGACAGCTGGGGAACCAACATAGGAGCAAACCAGGACCTCTGAACATGAGTGTCAGCTAGGAGTTCTGGGCAGTCTATAGGGCCTCTGGCAGTGGAGCCAGTATTTATCCCTAGTACATGAGTAGACTTTGGGAGCACATTCCCTGTGGAGGGATACTCTTTTAGCCTAGATACATGGGGAAGGGTCTAGGCCCTTCCCTTGTGGAAGGCCTCACCATCCCTGGGGATTGGACTGGGGATGGGATGGGGGGGTCAGTGGGGAGCATGAGGACGGGAGGGAGAGGGAACTGGGATTGATATGTAAAATAAGATTGTTTCTAATTTAAATAAAATTCATTAAAACATAAAATGTTAAAAAGGAAGGTATAAAATTAGAAGACAAAATTAAATACATATACAATTAATAAAGTTGCAAGTTCTCTGTTTACCGTGTGTGTGTGTGTGTGTGTGTGTGTGTGTGTGTGTGTGTGTGTGTGCGCATGCATGCGTGGTTTTCTGCATCTATATTTGTGTGTATATTCACATTGAATAGCCTCCAAAAGAGAGAAATTGGGTTAAAGAGCTCCTTTCAGTCAAGGGCTATTACTATGAGAGGTTCAGAGTGAAGAGCTCTAACACAGTAGCTTCACAGTAAGGGAAACATCCTTCCACTCTTAAAGAAAACCTAGTGTATCCCAATATCAAGGCATTCTGGGAATTTAATGCAATTAATGCATTTTCTGAATTAATAAAAGGAGTACAGAACCCACATGACCCTTTTATTACTACACTTTAATATTCATTCATTCATTGTTTTTTAAATTCTCATCAATTTAAGACTAGAAGGGAATTTCCTCAATTAGAGAACATTGACAAAAAATGGTAGTGAATTAAGATTTCCAATTGTATCTTTTCTCTTCCCCATCTCTATTCTCCTCCACCCTCCTCCCCCTCCTTCTGTTCTTGTTATCCTGTTACTCTTATTTCTATTATTCTTATCTTCTAAGAAAGGGTCTCTGGCTCTCCTGGAACTTCCCATGTAGACCGTGACGGCCTCAAACCCACAGTGAGCTGCCTGCCTCTACCTCCTGAGTGCTAGGATTAAATGTGTATGGGACTAGGCCAGCTCTTACTTCCCTCTTAAATAGCAAAATAAAATGGTATCATAATTGGAAAAGATGGAATAAAACTCATTATTTGGAAATTACATGAGTATTCTTTGAGAAGTTAAAAACAATGAAGTGTTGAGAGTAGGTTTTTCCTGCCAGCCTGGACCCACCACGGCGCCAGCCCCAATTAACACACAGAGACTCTGTATTTGATGTAATTCTGTTGGCCAGTTACTTGTTTCTTATCAGCTAGCTCTGTCTTCATTATTAACCCATTTCTATTAATCTAAATACTTCCACGTGGTCTCATCTTACCAGAAAGAGGCGAACAGCGGTTCTGCTCTCTCTAGCCTCTCCATGTTGACTCCTCCTTACTACTTCCTCGAATCCTCCTTGTTTCCTAGTCCTGCCTATCTTGCTTTCTTATTGGCCAATAGTGTTTTACTCATTAACCAATATGAGAAACATATTTACAGAATGACATCTTCCATCAATGAAGAGATAAAATAATAGCTAATTTATTAAAGTTGTTAGATATATTTCCAGTATTTTTTTAACACTCATTGAGTTCACCCTACAAACAACAAAAATTTTGGGAAAAGTTTTAGTACACTATTACAAACAATGGGAACACAATGTAGGGGTTGGAGAGATTGCTCAGTGGTTAGGAGCACTAGTTGCTCTTGCAAAGAATCCAGGTTCGATTTCCTACATCCACATGATGGTTTGCAGCCATCTATAACTCCAGTTCCAGGGATTCTGACACCCTATTCTGACCACCACAAGTGCCAAGCACACGTGTGTCATAAATGTATACAAGCATGCAAAACACAGATAAAATAAATCCAATAAAAAGTTTTAAATAAAATGCAGTAATAATTCCAACAAGATATGTTCATGATGTTTATGCAGAAAGTTACATTACTGAAATAGACTTTACAATGTAAATGAAGGCAAAAGAACTTTATTCACCAATTGGAGGATTAATGCAAAGATGTCTGTTTCCCCAATATAATAAAAAAACAATGACAAAAAGCTGTGAAGAGGTTTATGGAAGTTAATGTTATTTGTAAATATTATATGGAAATGTTGAGATATAAGAGTAGTCAAAGCAGTTTTAAGAGACCCACAAGTCCAATGACTTTTATTGCTAGACAATCCAAATGTAATCAAATTAAAGAAATTAAAATGGAATGGGATACAGATGGAAAAATCTTCAGAGCAATATAGAAAATCCCATCACAGAACCATGTGCATATAGTTCTCTGATATAATCAAATTATGTTGCAATAGAACTGGAGAAGAGCTGAGCTTTCAATATGTGCTGCTGGATGGACTGGGTATACAAGTCATGAAAAATTAGTCTCTCTCTTACTCAAAGTACCTGTGTTACTTGTTTTGTCAACATAAGAGAAACTAAACACACCTGAGAAAAGGGAATCACAATTGGGAAAATGCCTTCATAATATTGATTGGCCTTTAGCAAGTTTGTGGGCATCCTGCCTTAATGCTTGATGAGAGAGGGACCCAATCACTGTGGACAGTGCCACTCCTGGGATGGTAGTCCTGTTTTGCAGAAATAAGCAAGTCATAGGAGCAAGCCAGTAAGCACACTCCCCCATGGCTTCTACATCATCTCCAGCTTCCGGGCTCCTGCCTTGAGTTCCTGCCTGATGTCCCTCAGGGAAAGAGTGTGATCTGAGAGTTTTAAGATGAAATAAACACTTTCCTCCCAAGTTGCAATTGAGCAATAGAAGCCGTAACAAAACACCTTACATTTGTAAACAATAAAACAAAATTTTAACGATTAAACCTTATTTTTTTCTTTTCTCTTTCCCCCTTCATCCACTCTTGCCCCATTCTTCATCTTCTTCCTCTTGTTCTCCTCTCTTCTCATTATTTCCTTTCCTATGTTTTCCCCCTTTTGCTATTTTCTCACTGTTTTTCTCTTCATGCTCCTTTCCACTCTCATTTTCTCTTTCCCTCCCTCTCTTAGATAGAGAAAAGGAAATTCAGCCACAACTCTAATTCAACATGCTGTGTCTTCATGGTCAACAAGCCCTACGCTATCACCTGCTCCGTGGTGGCCTTCTACATCCCGTTTCTCCTCATGGTGCTGGCCTATTACCGTATCTATGTAACTGCTAAGGAGCATGCCCAGCAGATCCAGATGTTACAACGGGCAGGAGCCACCCCTGAAAGCAGGCCCCAGCCAGCCGACCAACACAGCACACACCGCATGAGGACAGAGACCAAGGCAGCCAAGACTTTGTGTGTCATCATGGGCTGCTTCTGTTTCTGCTGGGCTCCCTTCTTTGTCACCAATGTTGTGGACCCTTTCATAGACTACACTGTCCCAGAGCAGGTGTGGACTGCTTTCCTCTGGCTTGGCTATATCAATTCAGGGTTGAACCCCTTTCTCTATGCCTTCTTGAATAAGTCTTTTAGACGTGCCTTCCTCATTATCCTCTGCTGTGATGATGAACGCTACAGAAGACCCTCCATTCTGGGCCAGACGGTCCCCTGCTCAACCACAACCATTAATGGATCCACACATGTGCTAAGGTGAGTGCTGGAGGTGGTCAGTTTGGTTGCTTTGCATTGCTCAGAAGGGATTGTGATCTAGTTTTGTCCTAGGGAGTTATTACTGAAAATGTATACCGTGTTTTCAAAGAGTCAAGTCCATTCTGCCATCTAGCCATGGATTCAATCAGTAGGTGAAGACTCAGGCTCTATAGGGAAATTCACTTTCATTCTTTGACTATGGGGAGATCACTAACAGTTCTAAGCCTTAATTGCACTTTAAAAACTTGATGTTATAACCACTGTATGTCGACCCCAGGGTTTGGGGGGAGCATCAAATAAGCTTAATGCATGTGACATTCATAGAATAGAGTTTGAGTTCAGTAAGCACTTAGAGAAAATAGTGCTAGCCACTACTATTCATTCACAGGTATTATTTTACATCCTTAAAGCAGGAAGTTCTTGATTTTAACTCCCCCAATGCACTACTAACCATCTTTGTTATATTTCTTGCATTTACTTTCATCTACCATAAAAACACCAATAACACTATTGCCATTCTAATAGTTTTGTGACAATAAGAGATAATGTGTTTATAGAGCTTTACACATAGTATGCTCATTGCGTTAGTAATTGAATTACTATTCTCTAAACTAGTAGTAATTGTGTATTGCCTGACAACCTAAATGAGATGATAAAGCTAAAATAAGTTGAATAATAAGTGTGCAATAGTAATGCTATGTAACAAATTAGATAGCAGACTGTGGGGATCTACATTAGTGAGATGAGTAGGAGGGACACTGATTTGGAACTCAGGGAAGACTTCACAGAACAGCAATTTATAAAATGTTGTGAAAAGGAAGACTAGAGAAGCAATTCCTGGAAGGTGGAGCAGCATAGGAAAGAAAGTGGAAAATAGAGACTTACGAAAGTCACACAGGCTAGTGGAGGTAGGGGTGACACTGGAGTTCAGTGTTATCACCACATGGTTCCACACACACAGAGTCTTTAGCTGTAAGTTTGAATTATTCACAACTAGGAGAAGTTACAGGTGTAGAACTTTCACCCTGTGGCAAAGACTAATTATCAAGAATACTCTTTGCTCTGAAACACATCAGGGTTTTTGAAGAATACTTCCTTCTTGGAGTGAAGCATTGTTTTTTCTGATAATGAAGTATGAAGATGTTGTAGCTGCTGAGGCTTGAGAGGTTTCTATTTGTATGCTTAAGGGACGAGGGGCGGACTTAAATTGCTATGGAACATGAACAATGGTTCTCAGAGGCTACCCAGGAGCATGAATTCAGTCTACAGCCGCCAGTGTGGGCAGACTTGCTATGGAAGCTAACACAGTGTTGAAGTTGCAGCTCATAGAAGGGTCTCAAAGGACACTCTGACAGCCTGGAATTCCCTTCACTGCTGTGGAGGGAGTACCACTGAGGGGGAAAAAATCCAACTACGGAGCATGTGCAGAACTTGTGTGGGGGAGCTATGAGCTATTTACTCTATTTAAGCTAGCAGTTGCCCAAGTGCAGGCTGTTGACAACTTACAACAGTGTGCACAACAGTGTATTTCTGAGGTTGGTGCCTTTCTAGTTCAGGTATTGTCATAGGAGAGATCTGGACACTTCTGGGGCAGCTGAAAACAGCCTGTTTTGCTGACATAGTACTGTTTTGCCCTGATCCTTTGGTCACCTGTGTACGGTTCTTAAGCAAAGAGATTGGTTTAGAGGGCTATGATCCACCCCCATACAGTCCTTCATATACATCCCCATTAATCAGGAGGAGCAGGAGGTTGATTAGAGGGGTGGGGAAGAGAATCCTATAAAAGTCAGAGTGGGCCAGGAGGTGGTGACTCACTCCTTTAGTGACAGCACTTGGGAGGCAGAGGCAGGCAGACTTCTATGGGTTCGAGATCATCCTGGTCTACAGATCAAGTTTGAGGACAGCCAAGGGTACAGAACAAAATCCTATTTTAAAAAAACAAACAAACAAAAAATCAGAGTAGTCTATACAGGGTAGTCTATACACATCTATTTTTAAACTGCATCTACTGTAGGAAAAGTCTTGCAGGTGCAGGAATCTGCCTGTTTGATTCACTGCTGAATAACAAGGACCCAATGTCTAAGGAACCTAGGAACTTAGTTCTTCGGATCAGTGTTTTAACTTAAATGTAATGTTCAAAAATCAGTATTGCCTTAAAGATCTCACATGTATAATGTCAGTGAGAGAAGACAAATTCAACAAATATAAAACTAAAATAACAAAAAGAGGCCAGCTTTAATTGGCCACCCCATCTCCAGCTAATGTTCTTTCATTATTTTTGCACACATTCTTAAAACTATATGAAGTCATAACTTTACCCCCTCATTTAATATACATGGCACTATGACATATGCACTTTTCTATTTTCTGAATTTTGCATTTTATTTATTAACAAGCATGCAATTGAACGTAGTTCCACTGGAAAATGTAAAGATAAAACTCATTCTTCTTGTATCTGTTATATTTATTTTATACTCCTAGATCTACAGGTGCTTCCAGGATTACAGAGTACTCCACTGTGTTAATGCCCCTGAACACATTCCTTTATTCATATGGTGGCATTTCAGACACAGTCAAAGCTGAAATGTTTTATTAACATTTATATTAATGACATATTTGCCATAGAATGGACCTCCTACAACACTGTATTAATAATCATCATTCTTATCAGTGGATGTGAAAAAAAGTATTTATCTTACCAATACCAAACATCATTTTGTTAATTAAAAACACCCATTTAATTTGCATTTCCCAGTTGACTTACCATGTTGGACTTTAAAAAAAATAAAGTACTTTAAAAAAATATACTACTCACTTTGAAAAGTAGCTATTTTTCCTTTTAAGTGTATACATAGACAAATACAGAAATTCCACTGAATACTGTACAGACAGCATTGCTTTTATTGATCACAAGGTCTGAATTTTAGTCTTGATTTTTCCTCTTAGAAACTGTTTAGATAACTTTTCTAAGTCTCTCCTTACTCCTGCAAAATATGAGCAATAAGTGAAGTTTTCACTGATTGGATGGTATCTGTTAGCTACATATAATTAAGTAAAAGTCTAAATTAAATATAATTTAAAATACAAAAGGGTGCTATATAATATCCTTATTAATTCTTTATATCTTACACATGCAAGTCATGTATCTTGTCTTGTTCACACCCCCACTCTTCTTACATCTCCTTTATGAACCCTCTTTCAGCCCTCATAACCTTCCAATTTTGTGTTCTCATTTTTTCCCTTAAGAATTTACTGATAGTTTGTGCTGTCCATATACTCACTCACGCAGGACCATCTATTGGAGTGTGTTTCATCTACCAGGAACCACACCCTTAAAGAAAACTGATGTCCCTTCCCTCTAGAATCCATCAACTGTTGATGGCTCCTCAGCAAGAAGTGGATGCTAGTGAACCCTTCCTAGCTGAACACTGACTATTGGCCTTGAACAAGCAACCATACAGTGTGTGTTTATGAGAGCAACAATCTTATTGTGTCCAGAGGATGCTGTTACACTCTGATCTTCTGATTCATACACCCTTTCTGTCCCCTCTCCGCAATGGTCCCTGAAACACTGGGGGGAAGATATCATATAGATGTCCTATTTGCAGCTGAACATGGAGCAAACATTCTTAAGGAGGACCCTGACCCAAAAATTAAAGGTTAGCTACTGTTAGCAAGACACATCCATGCTCTACATCTTGAAGTACTTCGAAGAGCTTGCATTTTCTGGATAGATCATCACATAGCTATTGTTTGAAATAATCCAACCACATATTGACTAATAAAAGGGAAACTGAAACATCTGATATTCACCAATAGCAACCATGTTTAAAAAGAATGTATTTGAATGCAGGGACAGCCAGGACACTCTCATTCAGGAAAAAGTGTGACTGTTATCTGACTGAGTTTGGCTAATGATGTTTTTCTAAGGAAGCATTTCAGAGGAGAGCAATAGTGCAATAGTCCAACTGCCACCATGAGAAGGCTGCTGTTTGTTAAATTTAATGCTGCATTTAGGGCTGCTCCTCCTGTGATGACTTCACTTAGCACTACTTATTCTCCCTTGGGTAAAATTGAAAGGAGGTTGTTTTTCGTTCAATACATTCTGACTAAGGTTTCCCCTCCCCCAACTCCTCCCAGATCATCCCCTACTCCCCGCCCACCCAAATCTACTCTCTCTCTCTCTTTCATTCAAGAGTGCAAACAGGCATCTTAAATAATAATAATAATAATAATAATAATAATAATAATAATAATAATAATTAAGATAAAATAAAATCAAACAAACTGGTATAGGATGAAGCAAACAACTATCAGGAAAAATATCCAAAGAAAAAACACACGGCAAACACACAGATGCAGAGACACACACTCCTACACACAGAAATCCCATAGAAATATAACATGGAAACCATGGAAATCATAATATATACACAAGAGACCTATAAAGGTACAAAGGAAAGAAAGAAAACAAAATAATGCACAGAAAAAGCACCAAGAGATGAGGAGCCTCCAAAAAACGGTGTTGGGTTCCCTTTGTGCTGTGCTGAGCATGGGATCTGTTTGTAAGAGCTGTTTGTATACCCAGTGAGACTCCACCTGGGAAAACTAAGTTTTCATCTGTGAGCAGTTATCACTTGGAGATAGTTTCTGGATTAGGGATGGCATTTTGTGACCTCTTTCCCTCTCAGCACTGAGACCCATCTGGCTTGTATTTTGCAGGCCCTATGTGTGCTGCCACAGCCTCTGTAAGTTCACATGTGTCATTCCTGTCATGTATGAAAGACCATGTTCCCCTCAGTCTTCTATCCCAGGTGGCTCTTACAATCTTTCCACCTCCTCTTCCATGGAGTTCCCTGAGTTCTGAGGAGAGGGATTTCATAGGGGTCCCATTTAGGAATGAGCATTCCAAGCTCTCTCACTCCGTGCTTTGTCCCATTGTGGGTCTGTATTTGTTCCCATCACTGCAAGAAGAAGTTTCTCTGATGATGGCTGAGCAT